CATAGAAATTCTTCTACAGGAATAATAATGGACTGAAATTATACAAGTGAGAGAAGATACATTTTTGTTATTAAATAGCATTTTCAAATGTAATCTTATGCTAACTTCTATTTGTGCTTTTATATGTACCTTTCAATTATATGTGTGTGTTTTTTTCCAAAACAAACAAATGAAAATGAATCATTTGAATACAAATCTATTTTATCTTCAAACTCTGAAATATTTGGGGTCTTTGTACAGTTTTGCCTTACCTTTCATGGTTCATTGAAAACATTAAGTGTAATAAATTTTGAGTTGACTATCACTGTGACATAGATGAAACATGAAATATGTTTTGCTCAATGAGTTTTTTTTTTAAGTTTTTATTGTAAATTGAGTGATAGTTTACATGGAAGAACATCGGTTTTACATTCATCATTTCATTGCAATGATTACAGTCTCCCCCATGCATCATCATTCAATATATTTTTGCTTCTATTCCCTCTGTTGTTTGGTTTTTTGGAGGGTGTGGGGCTGGGGGAGAGGATGTACTTAATTACTCAGGAATATATAATAATTTAAACAACCAAAGGGTACATTGTGCAAGCCTGGCTTCTGGCCACCATTACCTGGTTGCCAGCACACAGGCTTTTCGAATATATTTTGATTTTTAATGGTTTTATTGGGAATTTTGTGATCATCTACATGGGAGAACATTAGTTTTACATTCATCCTATTGCATATTGTTTCACTGCCATGGTTACAATCCCCTCCATACATCATCAACCAACCAAAGTGTACACCCTGCAAGCAAGCCCCCGGTCGTCAGCACACAGCCCCTTTCCCTCTCTAGGTCTAGAGTCCCCACCCGCTCCATCTTCCATGTCATCATCTCTGCCTCCATCTCTGGCATCACTCTTTTTCTGGGTAGGGTCCAATTCCACTCTTCTCCATTGATGGTCCCAGGGACGGCAAAGTCAATCACTTCCCTCCTTTTGCTACAAAACGTCTACCTTTACATTTCCAACACTCACAGTCAGTCCTGATAACAATTATTCACTATTGTACCACAAGAGACCTACCCCATCTCCTTTCATCAGCCCCGCCCAGACACATTGGATACTACTCAATGGAGATTCTACCTTCCTCCACGCCCCCTGGATCTAGGCTCCCTCTTGAAAGCTTGTAAGCCAGTCACTTCTTACCTTTGAAGCCCCCCCCATTTTAGGTAGCAAATGTCCAAGTTGCCCATCCCTGTCTACTCTGTGTATGGAGGGGGTGGGAATGATCCTCGCTGAAAAGATTTGTTTCATCTTATGAGCTACTGCATCCATAGTTGTAGGTCAAGTTCATCAAATTGTATCAGATTACTCTTTGTTTCCTCTTTTTTCTTCTTCTAGTTAAGCTCTGATCATCCAGTCATCGGATCCAGGTCAAGTGGGTATTATCTATAAGTGTGGGTGTTCTTATGCATACGCTCTCTCTTCTTATCAGATGGACACTTCACTCTCCACTCTAGTCCTCTGTGGCTATGTTAGTTAGTTAGTTAGTATGTTAGTTAGTTAGCTAGCTAGTTAGTTAGTTAGTTAGTTAGTTAGTTAGTTAGTTAGTGAAACCAAATGTCTGTACTTAACAAGTTCTTAAAGTTAATGTAAAGGAAAGATACTGAAAATTAATACCATTAATATTATTCCAGTTAGCAAGTGTTTGAGATATAGCTTGAGTACAACTTGAAAACTTTCAAGAAAAATGTATATTCTAAAGATAGGGAAAATGTATATTCTAAAGACTTGTATAAGCTCAATGACTTGTGTCTGCACCATCCCTAAAAAAACGGAAGATCTTCTAAATACTCTCCTCTCAATGGCTTCTAGCTATCTTTTAGAATTGAAGGCTGGAGTCCTGGTGTGGCTCTGTGGGTTAATGAGCCAGACTGCAAAGCCATTTGAGCTGCAAGGTCGGCAGTTCAAGCTCACCAGTCACTCCTCGGAAACCCTATACAGGGTCACTATGGGTCGGAACCTACTCGACAGCACTTAACAACAACAACAACAACTCTGATAGTAGTGGTTAGGAATTGGACTGCTAACCTCAAGGTCAGCAGTTTGAAACTACCAGCAGTTTGAAATACCATATGTATTCGTATGAAATGAATATGATTGTAATCATTGCAATGATTACAATTGCCTGCATGCTTCATCATTGAACAGTGTTTGCTTCTATTCCTTCTGGGTTTTTTTGTTTGTTTATTTGTTTTTGGATGTGCACCAGAACACTCAGGAATATACAATCATTCAAACATACAAACAGCCAAATGGCACACCCTGCAAGCCTGAACCCAGGCCGCCAGCATACATCCCCTCTCCTTCCATCAGTCTAGAGTCCTCAGCTGCTCTGTCTCTCCATGTCATTATCTCCGCCTCCATCTCTGGCATCACCACTTCTCTGGGTAGGGTCCCACACTCCACTCCTGCTCTTCTCCCTTGATGGTCCTGGGGTCCTCCGCTCCAGGGCTGTAAGAATGACTACTCAGCCTCTCTTTTCATTTAATGATACTCATTTCCTACCGTTTAAGAGTTTCCCTACAAAACTGACCCTTATCTTCATAGTTCTATCAAATTATTTAGGAGTGAATGGTAGGTTTCTTTCTAGTAATTTGTCTAATATTTATAATTTCTTATACTTTTATACATGAGGAAAAAGATGAGCAGAACGTCAAGAATGAAGACTGTTAGAATCTCAAGGGTTTTTAATAGACTTAAAAGACTATAAAAAATAGGGGTTGACATCATGCAAAATATTTATGCCATGTGCATGAAAGCAAACAATGTATTGTTCTATTTCTTAAAAATATATTTAAGAGATTTTATAGTATTATAAGATTATCATTAAGTATATATTAATTGTTCAAATAGTTTGAAAGTTAATAGGAAGGAGCTGAAACACTGGCAGCTGAATGGTGGTGGTTTTGATGATCATCGATGACAAGGAATGAGTAAACAAAGTAAAAATGTTTGCCTGAAGAAGACCATAAAGGCATTAGTGGTCATCATCTTCTGCTATTTGAGTGGCTACCATATAAGCACTGGACTGCTAACTACAAGGTCAGCAGTTTAAACGCACCAGCCACTCCTTGGCAACCCTATACAGGGCTGCTATCAGCCAGACGGACTCAATGGCACTTAATAACAACAACAACCACAGTAAAGATGGTTCAGTTGGTGGTTCATTTTGTTTCACAGGACACAGTAGGGCTGCTGAGTGGAAGTCAAAAGGAGGCAAAGTACTCCTGAGAAGTATTTTCACGGTTATATCTGTTTATTATTAGGAAGATCCATCTCAGTCTAGAGAGGGGTAGGTCTTTCTCACTTTGGATGCTTTTATACACAGTTATCACCCAACTTAGATGTCAGTGGCTGAGTGGTAAGACAACACAATCTCCTAAATCCTCACCAATGCTATGATTTTAAATGTTAAATGAGCATATTTGTTATCTATATATTAAAAATCTAGAATGAATGTAAAGGAAGAAAATCAACCAGCTGTATATTTACCTATATTCTTACAACAAGTGATAAATATATAGATTGATTTGTGTATATGGCTATTTTCAGAGTATAATTAAATTTATGTTGGTTTGTTTCTCTTTTCACTTTTCCTTACATCTCAATTTCTTTTCCTTCTGTACCATTTTACCCTCTCCTTTCTTATCCTTCCTTCTTCTTGATCCATCTAATCCCATTTATCTCTTCTTTTTCCTCTTTTTCATTATTGAAATCTGCCATGATTAAGCAGAATGAGAATTGCGCTTCTGCCACTCTCCTGCCATATTCTTTGTATGATCCAGAATCATCAGCTTTCCCTGACCACTGATACAGAAACTGTTACCCAGCCAAGAATAAACTCATTCAGTAGCATTTCTGTTCCGTAATGATAGGTGGTGGCTCTGTAAGGCCGCAGTTGGTAATGCTGTTTGTTTCATGGCCACTAGACATATTGTAGCTGTATATGTCTAAGACTTTACTTGAACTCTAGTGCCATAGAATGAAATAAGGAGTACTGGTGGCACTGTAAGATAAGCATTGGACTGTTAACTGAAAGGTCTAATTTCAGATCCACCGCTGCTCCATGGGAGAAAGAGAAAGCTTCCCATAAATTTTGCAGTCTCAGAAACCCTATATAGGATAATTATGCATTAGAATTGAGTCAGTGGGTGTGAGTTTGGCTTGTTTTTGGTGTACAGAATGAAATAATTTAAAAATCAAGGCACTGGTGGTTGTAAATCTTAATCCTTGAGTGTTATAAAATACTACTTCTTGTTGTTGTTAAGTGCCGTGGAGTCGGTTCCGACTCATAGTGACCCTGTACAGGGTTTCTGAAGCTGTAAATCTTTACGGGAGCAGAAAGCCTCGTCTTTCTCCCGCGGAACCGATAGTAGTTTTGAACTGCTGACTTTGCAGTTGGCAGCCCGACTCGTAACCATTACTCTACCAGAGCTCCTTAAAATACTACTTAGTAGTTATTAATTCTATTTTCAAAATGGCCTTCTATTAGTCCCTAGAGCCCAAATGTATGGTTGCTACATAAGACAAGTTTACCACAACTGTTTTGAATATACTTAGAAAGAGATAATTATTGAAAGATTTTGAATTCAAATCATTTCAGATTTTTAAATTCAGTTCAATAACATGGAGCAGTCTACCGTCTGTTTCCAAGTAACTCTCTTAATTATGCAGCTGTGGAGAAGGTCATAAACCTGAAAACTGTTCATGCAATCATCCCTTCAAAATTATTGCCAGTCATATTATATGGGGTTCTTTCAAATTTACTTCTAAAGAAGAAGAATTATAATTTTCCGATGATAATAGTTACTTGGAATTTGCCTCCCTCTGTTTTCACTTTTAAGAAGAGGAATTTTATTGGGGATTTTAGGGTTTTACGTAAACAATTATTCTCAGGAGAGTAAATGGCATAATATTTACTACTATATAAATGTACATGTATTCACTGTGCTTTTCTAGGTGAGGACCCTGAAACAAGAAGAATGAGAACAGTTAAAAACATTGCAGATTTGAGGCAGAATTTAGAGGAGACTATGTCCAGTCTTCGTGGGACCCAGATAAGCCACAGGTTGTTCTTAATTACATATATCTTTGAGTCAATATTGTTTAAAAAAAACAGTCAAGAGTTTAATGTCTATTAATGACAGAAAAGGAATTTAATAATTAAGTTTCACCATGTTGTATTTGCACTTAAATTTTACCTGGCATACAGCTGGTGAAATTTCTAAAGAATTTTTTTTTGTCTTATCCATCTCTTCTTTGTATGATTTCACATTCAAGCTGAATTAGGTGCTGCAACTATGACAGTAGGATGCAGTTTTATGATGTGAAATACAATTTTCTGTCCCCCTTGGAGAACTTGGCATTGGCAGAGGTCACAGTTGAAATGCTTCTGGTATGGGTGGTAGGGACATTTTCAAATGTAATTGTTACTAATTGCCCAAAGAGCTGTGGTAAGGTCACAGGGGGTATGTTTCATGGGTTTGCTGAGAATAAAATAACATTGTTTTATCTGAATTTAATAATAGCTTACCTTTTAAAAACATAAACCAACAACGTAAACAACAAAGAGAATGACTGCCCCTCCCGACATTGTGGAGGTGATTGGCATATCAAATTAAGCATATAATTTGGCTTTTAAGAGAATGACATGCTTCTAAGAAATGACTCTCAACTGTAGCCTTTCTTGTCTTTATGCATTCTTGGTCATGCCCCCTGGTAAAGCACAGTACAGTGATTTTAACATGTAATTTGACAGCACTCTGGAAACTACATTTGACAGCACTGTGACAACAGAAGTAAATGGAAGGACCATACCCAGCTTGACAAGTCGACCCAGTCCCATGACCTGGAGGCTGGGCCAGGCTTGCCCTAGACTTCAGGCAGGAGATGCACCCTCTCTGGGTGCTGGCTACCCTCGCAGCAGTACCAGCAGATTCATCCACACTGATCCTTCAAGGTTCATGTATACAACACCTCTCCGTCGAGCTGCTGTCTCTCGTCTTGGAAACATGTCACAGATTGACATGAGTGAGAAAGCAAGCAGTGACTTGGACATATCTTCTGAAGTTGATGTGGGTGGATATATGAGTGACGGTGATATCCTTGGAAAAAGTCTCAGGACCGATGACATCAATAGTGGGTGAGTCTCCTGGGTCTCTTAACAGCAGTATATAAAGTAGGAGATGGTTGACTAGGATGCATTAATTGTGAAACGGCCATAGGTTAACTCACTAAAATCATGAGAAAACTGAGGTTATTTGGTTTATTTCAGGTCTTTTCTGCTCATTCATTCATGAAAAGTAAATATGCAATGTTTCTATAAATTCTTCCTTTATAAGCCATTAAATTTTTCTATTGTTACTTTACCAAAATGCCCCAGACCTGTGTTTTTAAAACTGTTTTTCACAGGTTTCTTAAATAACAGATATCTGTAGTGAAGGATGTGGGCAGGAGACATAAGGAGTTGCTAAGCTGCTTGGTTTTTCTTACTTGACTTGTCAGAGCTGTCTGTAGCTGCTTTGAGGAACAAATACTTTCTAGCCTTTTTCCTGTGTGCACTTCCAACTTGAGTGAAAATAATTTTAGAGTTGGGTACTTCAATCTCATTATTCTCCTTAGGTGATCTCAGGTTTTGTGTTTGTGTATTTTCTTTCTGTTTCCTATTGCACTCCCAAAAATGTTGCGGTTGTAAGACTTAGAACATTTTAGAAATTTACAATATTGAGTTGAATCAGAGGATGAATCCCAATGGAAACAGTAAGATATTGTATTAAAACTACTAATACCTATCATTATATTGCCATTATGAGCACGTTCTTTTACCTACTACACTTCTGTTAAGTGCTTTAAAGATAAGTTTCATATAGCTACCCTATTCCAAATAACCTTTTGATAATATCCTTTATCAAATGGGTATTTTAATTTCTGTCTTCCAATAAGGAAACCAAGGCCCAATGGTCCCAAGTGCATAACACTAAGGCCACACTTCCATTACAACTCAGATCAGTCTGACTTAACAACCTTTGCTTTATAACATATGGGAGCACATCTTAATTAACTTTACAATTTTCTTGCTATTGTAGACTTTGACCTACTCCTTGTCCTTAAGTATCCAGTAGTTCAGTGTGAGAAATCCATTCTCCTATATGAATTGCCCTGGTGTGGTACTCAACAGCAGTTCAACCTACCATCACTTTTGGAAACCCTATACAAGGTTGCTATAAGTAGGAATTGATTAAACAGCACATAACAACAAAAACAACATATGTGTTGTCCTTCCGGACCTCATTCATGAAAACTTTGATTTTGACTGGTTATTTTTTTGACAAGATGTAAAATGTTCATGATTGCTGTTGAGCAGATCTATGGCTGTGTGCCGTGGAGTCGGTTCCGACTCAGAGCAACCCTTATAGGATTTCTGAGGCTGTAAATCTCACAGGAACAGATGGCCTCATCTTTCTCCCATGGAACAGCTAGTAGTTTCGATCTGCTGACCTTGTGGTTCGCAGCTCAATTCGTAACCACTACACTACCAGAGCTTCTTGAGCAGATCTATAGTCCTGCTTAAATAACCTATCACTCACCAGTCAATTCCTGATACCCACCTTACTTGAGTTTTGAATTAGGGAGATGTGTTGAGGTTAATTAGGGCAGGAGGTGTGGTGTGTGGCACTGTAGGATAAGCACTCACTCACAAGGTTAGTTTAAACTGCAAAGTCAGGGGTTCAAACTTGGTGGTTTAAACTTACCAGCTGCTCCTTGGAAACATTATACAAATTCGCTGTGAGTTTAAACTGATTTGACGGCCCTTAATAAAACATAACAGGGAAGGAGGGAGTTGAGTGGCTGCAGTTACAGTATATGAATTAATTTCCACTCTGCCTTTTACTATATGTGGATTCACTGGGAGTTTAACTTCTTGAAACTTCTTTTTTTTTCATCTGTAATAAGGATGAAGTCAGGAATGTAGGCAATAATCTTATTTGCATAATATCTTACTATATTTAACTTGGCAGACTTGAAAAACTCAATAACTTTATCATCATCTTCTTTATGATTATGGGTATTATGTATACTAATAATTTAGAATTGTTATTGATCATTCTCGACAATTTTGCCTGTGTTCAAAATCATTGTAAATACAGTGTATTTAACTTTGTCCAGAAGATAACACCCAGTTCAGAGAGTGATGGTAACATGTCATCATTGTTGTTAGGTGTCATCCAATCAGTTCATAGGAGTTGGTAGCGTAGAAGTTTCTAAAGTACAAACTCTCTCCTTCCATCTCTTATGTTTATCTTATTTCTTCTCTCCATTCTCTCTCCTTTCTATTCCCCCTATGTTTTCTGTATATTGTTGTTGTTGTTAAGTGCCATCAAGTCGTTTCCAACCCATAGCAATCCTGCTTAGGATTTCCAAGGAGCAGCTGGTGAGCTTGAACTACCAACTTTGTGGTTCTATTTAAATGTGTGCATATGAATGTATTCATATTTACATTCACTATTCAAAGAAATTTGTATGAATATTTAATTATATATACCCATTATAAATGCATGTCATGTGCAAACACATACATATGGGAGCAGTTTAAATATGGAATCAAGGGAACTCCACAATTCAAAGTATAATATCAAGTGTGTGATGCTGCAGGATAATTCTCGGGAGTACAAGGTCAGTTTGGACCACAAGGTCAGGGGTGCAAACCCACTACCCACTTCTCAGAAACCCTAAAAGGGTCATTAGAGGTCGGAACCGACTCACCAGTGCTTAAAAAACAGCACATAGATAAAAATTAAACTAAGAGTTCAGATGCAGAGGAAATGCTAAATCCCAGCATAAAGTACCAAGGATTGAATGAGGGCAGTATTTGATGTATCTTCCTTGATATAAGTAGTTTAGGAGAGGAAGTATTTTATTAGAGATAAAATTTGTAGTCAAATTATAAAAATTATAAATATTGAAAATATAAACCGCTCAGTTATTGGGACTGAAAATTTTTTTTCAGGATCAGATTACATTAATTCAGTCTTTCCCCATAACTGAGATTTAAAGATAAGAAAAGAGAAGTACTGTCAAATATCATTATGCTAAGAATTTAAATTGTGTGCTACAAACAATGGAAAGCACTGTTATTTTAACTTAGAGAAGACTATCTAAAACTCACAGAGCAGTGCATGATGACTGTGATGATTTTATCAAGACCAGTTTAGAGAGAGCATTCTAAGTGGATAGAGAGGTGACTCCCTGGAGTAAATTCTGAGAGGTGTTGTAAGCATCCAGACCCCAGCTTATAAAGTCAGAATTATGGGCATGGCATTGGTAGAGATGGAAAGAGAGAAAAAGCATTGCTGTGGGAGGTACTGCAAAAGAAAATTTTACAGAAACAATGGCAAACTATTTATGAAGGCTTAAGGGAAGCAAAGTTTTCAAAGTACCCAGATAATATAAACAGGAGACAGGAAAATAAGTAGACCATTAGAAAAATAGGCCAACCAAGAGACGGTTTGTTTGGTTAAGAAGCAGAAAGCAGATATGAGTGTAGCTTTAGAAATGTAGAGCTGAAGAGAGTGAGATATAAAGGCTCGTTGCTGAAAAAGCTAAGATAGTTTGCCGGGTAGAAATAAGAGATTCATCTCATTTAGAAGATAGCAGAAATTGTGGGAGACACAAGGATTCCTGGGAAGGAATGTAGAGAGAGAGAAGAGACAATGAGCTCCAATGTAGACTGTGAAACTGATGAGAGCCAGAACTCAATGGCATTGCATTGTTTTTCTGGATTTAGCAAGTTTTCTGCTTTGACAGGGTGCAGTCTTGCCTCTTAGTGTCTCTCATTTTAATGAAGAATATTTTAAATTTCCTTCTCGGACAGGTTTCCACATTACAAAAGTTATAGCTCTTACAGGTTTTATTGCATGCATGCATATTTGTATGTACTATGAGCAAATAATCGGAGAAGCTGGGTTATATGAAGAAAAATGTGTCATCAGGATTGGAGGAAGACTCATTAACAACCTGCCATATGCAGATGATACAACCCTGCTTGCTGAAAGTAAAGAGGACTTAAAACATTTACTGATGATCAAATAGCACAGCCTTCGGTATGGATTGCATCTTAATGTAAAGAAAACAAAAACCCTCACCACTGGACCAATAAACAACATTCTTATCAATGGAGAAAAGATTGAAGTTGTTAAGGACTTAATTCTTCTTGGATCAACTATCAGCACTCATGGAAGCAGCAGTCAAAAAATCAAACAACATATTGCATTAGGTAAATCTGCTGCACAAGACCTTTTTAAAGTGTCGAAGAGCAAAGATGTCAGCTTGAGGACTTGTGCCTGACCCAAGCCATGGTATTTTCAATAACCTGATATGCATACGAAAGCTGGACAGTGAATAAGCAAGACCATAGAAGAATTGATGTTTTTGAGTTATGTTGTTGGAGGAGAATATTGAAAGTGCCACAGGCTGCCAAAAGAACTAACAGATTTGTGTTGAAAGAGATGCAGCCAGAGTGTTCCTTGGAGGCCACAATGGCCAAACTTCATCTCTCATACTTTGGACATATTGTCAGGAGGGACCAATCGCTGGAGAAGGATATCATGTTTGGTAAGGTAGTGAGTCAGAGGAAAAGAGGAAGACCCCCAGTGTGATGGATTGGCCAAGTGGCAGCATCAGTAGACTCAAGCATGCAGAAATTGTGAGGTTGGCTCAGGACCGAGCAGTGTTTGTTCTGTTGTACATAGGATTACTATGAGTCAATACTGACTCAATGGCACCTAACAACAACATGTTCAATATATGTTTGCTGAGTTAATCTTATATTTCAAGCAACATTCTAGACCCTAGAAATGCAATGGTAAACAAGATTCCACTCTATATATGATTTACATGCTAATTTTTTCATCTTTTTTAAGTTCTCACTTATTCAATAAAAAATTGTAAGGTACACATATATTTATATACACAGTTTCTTACAGATGTAGTTTTTAAGGAAGTGTTTTTAGCAACTGAGTTCTATATATAATGATACATATTGTTGCTAAATTAGTTCAGATTCATAGCTACCCTGTATAGAGTTTCCAAGGAGAAGCTACAGGGTTTGAGCCACCAACCTTGCATTTAGCAGTCCAGTGCTTA